CTGAAAGAGACGTCTGGCATCCCCTGAATCTAAGCCTTGAAAATAACAGATCTAACTGAACGCAAAGGGAGGAAATCTTTCCTTCCTCCATGTCATCCCCTACTGAATTTGACCTGTCAGCTCATAATATTTCCACAAAGTTAGGAAGTGTCAAGAAAATGCCTTCCAAGTTCATTACGCAGTCTGAACTGAAGTGACTGTTCTTCAGCATATCAGTAGGTCAGCCATGTCAGATGTCTTCATCCTCACTGGGGACACTAGTAGATTCACATCCTTGCTCAGAAATAAGAAATGGTGAGTGATCTGATGAGGAAAATTAATAATTTGGGGGGAGTTTTATAAGCCTGTTTGATGAATGTCAACAGTAAGCCTATTTCTGATATCTGGCAGGAATATAATTTTTCCATGACTCACTTCTGAATTGGTAGGTGAATCCTGAGAATAATGAAAGCACCTTGAATGTGCACTTTGGGTGGCTTTGTTGTGTCTGGAAAATTGATTTCAAGGCTAGTTGCCAAAGAATGTTGAGAAGATAGTGGTATCATGTTTCATGTTTGCTTTTAGCACTATGGTTTCCTTCACAAACTTGCCATCTTTTCTTCTGCAAGCCAAATGTGTATAAATTGGTACAACATTCTTGATGAAACATTGCAGCAATAATGATCGTAACCAGTATTTGTATCTTGCATTGTCAGTTTTAAAGAGTATTGCAGGGATTGCCAACTTAATGGGCATATTCACTATTCTGAATGTAGCTAATTTAATTGAAAGGTACTTGAAAATTTCACTGGCAAAAGATAATTGTGTCATCTATATGGAGAGTTGAGATAACATGAGGCAGATGCAGTATGGACCCTTTTATTAAGCTGTCTGAAGTAATTCCTTCTTAGATAGGGCAGCTTGGGGTATTTTTTTTTTTTGAATGAACAAGAAACCGGGGGAGGGGGATGCTTCTTTCAAGTGTTGTGCAATAAAATGTTGTGCTATAATGAAGTATGCTGCCACCCATTTGATAGATAGATAACTGAAATAAAAGGGAGACTTGAAGCCATGAGATATCACTGTTCCTTTTGAATTGAGCAGGCAATAGGGTTATAGTTTATATATTACCTATAATCAGGCAATTTACAAAACAATTTAAACATTAAGATCTTGGTTTTAAGTGCTTGGTCTAACAGATATGTGAGATGAGGAAGGGGGGATGTTATTACTTGCCATCTAGAAAAAGGACAAATACAGAGTTTCTTCAAAACTCCAAAGAAAGCAGGCGAGAATGGGTAATTCCATTCAATGTATTTTGAAAACATAACTGCAGAAACAATACTAAACATTATGTTAAGTAAACTTAACTATTTCATTTAATCAATGTCTAATGCTTCGGTAAATAAACACTCTTCCTTGGAACCTAAGTAGTTTCTAAAAATCACTGCCTGTTAGAAATATTTTAAACTATTTTGCAAATATATGCAGTCTTTGTGATGCTGTACAGAATGTGTAATGTGTAATTAAGTGCTAGGCTATCTGTGATTGTACCTCTCATTTAGAGACTATATGCTTTATACTAAAAACCAAAACAACACACTCAAAAAAATCCCTCACCAAAAAACCTCCAGGGATAGAAATAGTATCAGAATATAGTAACTCCTTTAGGTTGAGTTGTACTGTAAGACTTTACAGAAAGAGCAGTATATTGGTGTTTTTCTTCTGGCAAACTTGACACAGCATTGAAAATTTGCTCTTCTTGCACAGCTTTCTGAGAAAGACATGAGTATGCTGGAGGAACGGATAAAACGGTCTGCTAAAAGGCCAAATGCTGCTTTAGCAAGGCAGGTGGAGGAGAAACCGCAACGCATTCAGAGTGCCAATGCGAATGCTAACATACTTCGCAAGGGACCTGCTGAAGACATGTCTTCCAAACTCAAGTATGTAATCTGGAAAAACACAAAAATTCTCTGACATTTTCACAGTATGTGCTAAAAACATAGCTTATTGTTGCCTTGTGTTTGTCTTTTGTTTTAATCATCGTCTGCATGTGTCACAAACTGCAAAAAAATGTAAAGCAAAATGTTTGAACCTTTCTTCATTTGTTTTGTCATGTCTTGAATGCTTTCTAAATGGTATTGTGCCTTTTTTCACTGCTTCTCCATGGACAGAATTATGTATCGCACTTATAGGATGTAAGTACTGACCACTAAATCCTTGGTAGAAAGGCATTATCTTCATTTCCCCATGCCCTAATCTGAAACATACTTAGAAATACGTTTCATTGACTTGAAAGTAGTAGTACCTAATAAGTATGCTTAAGAGTCTAAGGGGTTCTAGGAGAAGAAAGCTGGACTAGATTCTAGGAAGTCTGGATTCAAATTCCAACTGTGCTGTAATTGTGGCATCAGGCAAGCTGCTATGTTTCAGTTGTAACACTGTCTTTAAAATAATAATAGTGGTCGGCCTTCCAGGTTGATATGAAGGGTAAGACCAAAACTGTATAAGAATCCTTTTGAACTGAAAGTGCTTTGAAAGGTTTTGGATCAGACTGATTCTATAAGTCCCCTGAATGTTTCTGAATGTGCCTACATATCAATAACAATAACCAACAGATAGTTTTAATCAAACTAAACTTTGAATTATCTAGGAAACTGCTAGTTGTATTGCAAATGCAAATTGCATAAATCGTTGCAGTGAGAGCTCCTCATAAAATATTATAGACACTTGCCTGTTACAGTGCATTTGTTGATCAGCTCAATTCTTTGAAGAGTGCCAATGCAAATGCTAACATACTTTGCAAGGAACCTGCTGAAGATATGTCCCTTGCGAAGAATCAGCCAGAGGGCTGGACCCCTCCAGCAGTGGAATGGACACTGTTAGGAGGAGTAGATTCTTCACCCAACGTTGTGTTCCCTTTAATCCTTGCAAGCCTGCGTCAGAAGATGGAGGCAGAGGCAAGGGAAGGGGAAGTAAAGGTCCTAGTGTACAGTCAGAAGAAATTCTGTTTCCACAAAGCTGGTTGTTAACTCAACATGAAATTAAGATGTAAACATACATTTGAAACTTTTTCTGGAAACAGATTACTTCCTGTTGTACATAATGCCATATGCTGTTCTTCTGTTCTAAAAGTACTATCTTGTATACAGTGCCTAGCAAAATAGTTACCGTATGTTGAATTGGAAACTCCTCCAGCTTAGGTTTCTTGGACTCTTGGGGAAATGGGGCTTGAATGAGGCATGTTTATTGTGATGCCCTTCACCTTTATGAAGAAAGATCATTAACTCATCAGCACTTTATTTTTGCATATGAATTTATCACAGTACAATACTGCTTATATAATTTGATGTTCTTTTGTAGAAAGTGGAAACCAGCATTTCCTTAACAAATGTGCTGAAAGCTTCAGATTACCAGTTGCTAAAATAATTGCTTAAGGAAATTGAATAAAATTACTAAAATTGAATAAAATTGTTCTGGATGATTGCATTTCAATAATAGTAATAGGTAGCATTTGCCAGTTGTGGCATAATAACAAGATATTCTAGTCACTACTAACTATTCTGATCCCGCTCATCATATGGCCCCAATTCCTATGAAAGTTCAGAGGAAAGGAGAAAACCTCCTCTTCTCTCTCCTGGCTTCTCTGTGAACTGTAGAGAACTTTGTGAAGGCAGAGGTAGTTTGTGTAACATAATGAAGTTATGCTTTCTACAAAATACCAATGTTTTGCTCTTTTTGCAAAATCTCATAAAGAAGGAAGTTACTTGAAGCTCATGGAGAATGTGGAATGGATAGGGTGGGGCAATCACTACTAGTGACCTAGTGAGGAGAATGTTGTAACTCTAATAATTAAAAAAATGCTCTTCTTAATTTCTGTAGCCAAGCCCGTAATATGAGTGCTCACTCAGAGACAAGTCATGCTGTTCCACGGGAATTTCAGCTGGATCTGGATGAGATAGAAAATGATAATGGCACAATGCGATGTGAAATGCCAGCACTTGTCCAGCACAAACTGGATGACATCTTTGAACCAGTCTTGATCCCTGAACCCAAGTAAGTGCTGATGGAAGGCTTTAAGAATATTACGAACATTTCTCTGTCACTGAAAGCCCTCCAAACTCTTACATCATGAGTAAGAATCTCACCGCATCTATGGTTTTTCCCTCCCCCCCCCCCCTTCGCCTGGAGGAAGATCACTCTTAGGTGGCAAAAGGAGCTTTTGGGGATTGAAACATAGTGCATCTTATTTGAATTTAGAACTAGATTGTGGTGAGGGCTGTATAAATGGATGTATGTTATGTTTCCCCTTTTCTCTTGCTCTGTTTACATAGGCATAAACCATATTTCCATCAGCTTTGCTTGCAGGTAGATATATATTTTAAAAGTGGATGCATTATATACATCTCTTCAAACAATAACGGCTTTCAAAAGTGCTGAACTTCCATACACATTTCTTTTGAAGCCTATTCATCTTTTCCCACAAGTCTGCAAACTTTGTGTTTTGTTTGTTTGTTTTTAATGCAATACACGATAAATAAATAAATCTTTTCCCAAACATCTCCATGTATATCCTCTTAAACCTCTATCTGTTTCCTCTTGCTCATCCTGAGAGTCAAGTATTTTCTCGTTAGAAAGAGGGTACATTTTTAGCTTTTAATCACCATGGTGAAAAAAAGAAGGTGAGATGAGATAGGGTTGTTTAAAATAAGGTTAATCTGAAACAGCTGATTTTATGACTTTCATTTGATTTTTGATTTTTGAGGCAGAATTATGTGGCTATTAATTGTGCTGCCCCAATAATGCATTGCATTCTTTCTCTGCCTAGGATTCGTGCTGTGTCTCCACATTTTGATGACATGCACAGTAACACAGCTTCCACCATCAACTTTGTTATTTCCCAGGTAGCCAGTGGTGATATAAATACAAGTATCCAAGCTCTAGCACAGGTAAGGCAAGTGCTTGTTGGTTGGTTGGTTGGTTAGCTGTTGTATCTCATTGCTCGTAGTTAGGAGGTAACTTGCGAGAGTGATGAGTTGCACGTTTGGTGGAGCTGAGTGTCAGGTGACACAAGCACCACTCAGAAACCACCCTGATGACAATACCAAGTGCACAGGGGCCATCTGACTCGCTTCACCCAACAGCAAGGAAGCAATAAAATAGATCAAAGCGTACTGGCATGATATTATTTCCCTATCTCTTGAACCATTTGAACTGAGTTCCTGTAGGGAATGTTCAGTATACAGTCAGTCCTCCATATTTTCTAAGGTAAAGCAGGTACCAACATGACTCTGTGTTCAACTTCCACTGACCCAGAAATTCCACTGACCCAGAGATTCTTAGAGAGGTTTTCTCTCCAGAAATCTTGTAAGTCCTTCAGTATGACTGAAGGAATTTGACCATAGAGTCACACTGCAAGACCTGGGGAATCATAGAGAGCACATTTTAAATTAAATCTGCAAAAGTCAAAATTGCAAATGTGGAGGGGTGACTATACATAGTGTTTTTATCGCAATTAGGGAATTTAGATAAATGAATGAAACTAGAATTGGTTGGTTTTTCCTGCAGATTGATGAAGTTCTGAGGCAAGAAGACAAAGCAGAAGCTATGTCTGGACACATTGACCAGTTTCTAATAGCGACTTTCATGCAGCTCCGGCTCATTTACAATACACACATGGCTGATGAGAAACTGGACAAGGATGAGATAGTCAAATTATACAGTTGTATAATTGGAAACATGATTTCGGTAAGACTTGATTTTTTGGAAATGAAATAGAAACTTCAGTCACAGGAACTAAAACTCGTCCTTTCTTGAGTTCATACGTTGTGTTATATAAATGCTTCTTAACAAAAAAAGGTCCAGCAGTCATATGCGTAATAAGTGTTTTAAGTGTCTTTAGAATAATTATAGTCACAGTTAGGGTTGTATTATAAGTAATACTTGCCAAAAAAATCCTGCTTTTGCGCAGATATTAAAGGTGCAGGAGTTCTCTCCAGTTTTCAGTCTGGCAATCCTAATTTGGTAGGATAAATTTCATTTAAAATTTAAGAGTGTAGGTTTTTTTCTAGTTGAGTGAACATTATCTCAACTAGAAAATACTCAACAGAAATGGTTGATATTCTCTCCTTACCTATTTGCTTACTTAAATAGCTAAAGGAGGGAATCTCACCCATTTTTTGTTGAGTATTTTCTGATCATTTTTAACAATGATAAAGGTTCGGTGAAACACATGCATATTGCCTAAATCAATAAGAAATATACATTTTGCGCAATAACTTTTCCTTAGATCAGAGTGGAGCAAGTTTATCCCCCAAGGAATTTGAATCCTGTTGTTTACATCCAACTAGAGTATATCCATTAAATGATGGTTAAATGCTGAGTCAAACATGGAGAGAAATGTCTGTGAATCTTTTCTAGTGAGAACTAATAATAGGGTTTAGAGCCAAGTGTTTTGACTTAAATTTCCCAAAACCTTAACTGACCACTAATTCTTGACTTCAATTGACAGCTATTCCAGATTGAATGTTTAGCCAGAGAGGCGTCTGCAGGAGTGCTGAAGGACTTGATGCATGGCCTCATTACCTTAATGCTGGATTCCAGGGTTGAAGACTTGGAGGAAGGCCAACAGGTTATCAGATCTGTTAATCTCTTGGTGGTAAAGGTTCTGGAGAAATCTGACCAGACCAACATTTTGAGGTAAATCTTGGCTAAGTGGCCCAAGAAGTCCTTCCTTACATTTCTGTAACTTTCTGCCACAAAATAATTGATCACTTGCTGATGGTTTGAGCAAATGATTGCCTCAGATGGTCTTCCTCAAGATAAATAACTTGTTGATCCTTACAGTTGTTGAGCAAGACAAATTAGATTGGAATATTTTTCAGGGTTTAAGGGGCAGGAGTTGTTCTTATTGTTAGGCTATGTGAATCCCTTACCTCAGGAAGCAGATCAAGGACAGTGAGAAAGTTGTGAAATGAGCATGGTCCCTGCTTCTTCGTGGTGTCTGTGAAATTGCACATAGACACAGGAAGCAAGAATATAAATCATTAGACAAAACACAACAGCAAAAACAAAGTGGAAATACGTTTTTGTAATATAGAACACAAAACTACTACAACCTCTAGATATTGACTATGTACAGATCTAAAGTACATCTTCTAAGGGCTTTACATTCGCTGGTTGGTGTTTTTTTCCTCTCAATTTTCCACGTCCATTAAAAGAAGAAAAAAACATCGATACACCTTTTGCCCATAGGATGATACTCTTTTAATTCAAAAAGCCAATAGAGTAGGTTTAACCCATCTTTGCTGAAGAAACATAATAAGTAAGTCCCAGTCTTTCTGGCCACCTTACGAACAACCTATTTCTCTGCTTCTTTCAACCATTTCACTGGTGTTAATAGCTTACCTACCAAACTAAAATGACTACCTCTTGAAAAATCAAGCAATGCCTTCTTTGAAAGCCACAAGTTTGAAAATGGCGGATGTTGGACATGTAGATTTTTTAATCAAAAAATAAATCTGATATTAAAGCATCATGGTTCTTTAAGCTGAGATACAGTGTGCTGGGTTCTTTGGTTTCCACATTATTTTTACAAAACAAATACTGTATATTTGTGATGTTATTAAATACAGGCAACATTAGTACAGGAGACACAAATTTGAAGCATTATTTTTTCCCTTAGGTCTAAAAATCCCCATTTGACTTTTAGCATCCAGAATGTTAGTTATTTTCATACTAAAAATTGATTTACATTTATATTGTATTCCATAAAGTTAATGCTGAAATTTGTGTTTTAAATGTGGATGAAAATTGATATGTCCCAACTATCTTTTGATAAGTTCAGTTGATAGGAGAAGAAGATGTATACATGTGCAAATGGGAGACAGCAATGGCTCCCATTATGCTACAGTGGAAGTGGTCTGCCTCAGATGCACAGGGTCTTCTTCAAAACTGCCTAGAGAGTTTATGTGTCTATTCAGATAATTATTCTTAGTTAATTATTCATTTTGTTTTCTTGTTTAGTAATTTATGAGTTTATAATAATGTTACCTTGCACTCTTTTTGATTTATATGTTTGTTTATCACCAAGGCATTGAATGTTTGCCTTTTTGCCTGGAAGCACCCCTGAGTCCCCCCGACAGAGTTAGGGCGGCCTATAGATACATCATTATCATTATTATTATTATTATTATTATTATTATTATTATTATATACTCGAGTGGCTTCTCTCTAAAGCACTGCCTACTAAACTTGTCTTCTCTTGACATCCTAATTGAAAGCATGCAAGACATAACACAAAATAAGCTTTGTCAGAGCCATTCTGTATTAAGCTTCAGTATGGATAATGCTACTACTGTACGTATTTTCCGTAGTGCCCTGCTTGTTCTACTTCAAGACAGTCTGTTGGCGACTGCAAGTTCCCCTAAGTTTTCAGAGTTAGTAATGAAGGTAAGCATGCATAGTAATCTTTTGATAAATGTCTTTTTGCATAATGCATTAGCAGGAGAGATTATACATTGTAACTGGTTCTAGCCTGAGACCTTTCTACATGCTGCTTGTTGCACTAGAAAAGAAATTAGTGTGGAGGCTACTTATTGTGAAATCCTCTTAAGCAGACACATGTTTTGCTTTTTCAAAAAGGGTAAACAATCTCCACTGCAATTAAAGATTTAATGTCCTTTCAGTAACTAACAGATACTTGATAATCCCAGTAAACTGTAGAAGGTTAAACACTGTATATTAATTTGTTCTGCAAGGTTCAGTTTACTTTTTTAAAAAACAAAAATGTATCAGTAATAATAGTCTTGGGCTTTTGAAAAGATTGCCTTTCTTTTTGATGGTTAGTGTCTCTAATCATTGCTGTCTTAATTCCCTCCTAGTGTTTATGGAGAATGGTAAGGCTTCTCCCTGAAACAATCAATACCATCAATCTGGACCGGATCATGTTGGATATCCACATCTTTATGAAGGTGTTTCCAAAGGAGAAATTAAAGCAATGTAAGAGTGAGTTTCCAATACGGACACTAAAGACCTTGATTCACACGTTATGCAAGCTCAAGGGGCCGAAGGTAAAATTGTAGATTACTTCTATCCAACTTGTGTATTGTTCTCTAGTCGGTTAGAGGGTTTCTCTCTAAAAGTAATCACATCTTCTTAGATTTTGGATCATCTAACAATGATAGATAACAAGAATGAATCTGAGTTGGAAGCTCACCTATGCAGAGTAATGAAACACTCCTTGGACCAAACTGGAAGTAAAACAGATAAAGGCACAGAAAAAGGAGCTTCTCGCATAGTAAGTTTTTGGGTTTTTTTTAACTAAAGAAAACTGTTGTTCAAAATCTGAATAAACTCTCTGGCATGATGGCTTTAAGACAGCACTGGATCAGGAACACAGAGGGCCCATTTAGTAAAACTTTTCATTGTCCATTAAAAGCCTTTGTCTCTTCCTATGATATTTCAAACAATTTTCACATACAAAGGGAAGGACACAGTCTGCAATCTCCCCAGCTCTTGATGGGTGCTTGCTAACAAGAAGTGAAGCAGGGCATATTCAAGTTCAAAAAGTGATTTTCAGGAGAGGTAGTCATATTCTCATGGAATCCATATTTTTTTTAGCAGAAATCTAAATAGATGTTTCACTAAGCTGAGTTTTCTTTGGACTCTCCTTAAATTTCAAGAAGATGTTTGCTCATAGAATAGAGAATATTACTATACTAATATCCACTAAATACTTGTTATTTTAGCTGGTTCCTAGGTTAGTTGAATGGTTGGATTACTTTTTCTTGAAGTTAACCTGGAGATTGTAGACTACTGTATTCAGGGCTTGGTATAAATCAAAATATGCAAACTGATAAGTCTTTTTTGATAGCAGCATTTTGTTCTTAAAGAACTGAAGGGGTGAATTATTCCATGTTGAAGGGAAGAAACATTTCTGTGCAGAGTGATGAAATGCTTCCTACAGTGTTCACTGGAAGTAATATACACCCATTTTAGACTCTTGCATCCTTCCTGAGACTGGATTCCCACACCAGCCAATTACAGATCGAAATTCGTTCATTGTGCAGTGGCCTGTTGCATTGATAGAAAGCTATTTCCCTGTACTGTGCCTCTAGATAACCAGGTCATGC